AAAAATCGTGCAAAATGCTCCTTTCTTTTTCATATAATCAAAAATTAGGGTTTGGCATTCACATTTTGGCTTACTTCTGTAGTTTTCTTTTTGCCCTTTCACGTTATTCCTGATAGAAAAATAAAATTAAAAAGTAGCAATATTGGACAAGTTGATTCATGTACTTCACAAACCAAATTGGATTTGTTCGCTATGTGGGACAAAATTTTTCGTACTCGTAATGCTATTACGATAATTAATCCGCACTCACGGAAAACGTGATCAAGGCCGTAATGCATTGCGGGCATATAGGAGCGCTTTTGAAAAGAAGACCTTTATTTTTCTAAGGTAAAACATAACAGATACCATAGTTCATTTCTGTCAGCGTAGTCGGGTAAGAAACCAGACAGACCCCCAGCATTGGCACTGCTGGAATTTTCCATGAAAATTTTAACTCGATGCCATAGTTAGTGGATTTGCGGAGTCTAATAACCCAATTATTAAAAAAAGTTCCTACTGCCTAATTTCCCAAACAACGGTTCGACTTTAGCTGATATAGATTGCAGGGAACGCGAACCCTAAAAGAAAAATCGAACAGTTTTGAACTCCATAATTGCAAAGCGCTAAATATCTGAATTCTCCTTACCAATTCGCGTACGTTTCTTCTTATGATCGTTTTGAGAATTTGCTTGTAAATCAAGAGCATATCAAGCCTTACCTGATGAGATATTTTTTGTCCTCGTTATCTGTTCGTTCAGTGTTATTTTCTCAAACCTACTCGTGTTTTCTTTGAGGAGCAATCGCAATCTTTGACCTTCGGCTAGTGATGGCAGATTTGTCCCTCATCTTTCTGTTTATTTTCACCTCTTGGCCCGTAAATCTTTTCATTGTATTAGCACCGGATTAAGTTCTCGTCCGAGAGAAACTGTTAATCGAGCCAGTTTGCAAAAGCAAACAGATTACAGAAGTGGGCAAGTCGGCGGTTAAACCTGCCTCGCCGCACGTCAGAGAGAGAAGAAAAGATTTCCCGTGGTTTTCCCGCTGGTTCACTGGGAGGCCAAGCCCGATTTACTAACGGTAATGTAGTATTTCTATCAGCTGGAAGTGTAAATTTGCATTCTTCGCGTGTGCAACGCCTTTAGTAACCAGCGGGCGCTCGGTTCATGGCACGCGATTGTGCGCTGGTTCAGCGCCGATCATTTTTGCCCTGTCGTGTTTCTAATGGTTTGAATCTAAGCGATCGCTTGATGGATAATTGCTAAATGAACTCGGGTAACTGTCAAAGAAAGCTCTGAACTACGTACGGAGGTATGATTTCTGTTATTTCATGCGCGTAGGCGGCGCTTGGATCCCGAGATGCCGGTTGGTTCTGTATCGATTTCTATCAACTTTGTGCTACGTTCGTAAGAAACAATTTGAAAATTATCTCTAGATTTAAGAGTGTAGTAGATAAAACGCTTCTTGTAAACTCGTCCTGAATTGAATGTATAATCGCAACTGAGTGAGTAGCTGATAATTAGCTGAGCTCTGAACACTCAAAGTGCGTTGATGTAAAGAAGTTGGGCTTTGTATCTTCCCAGCATGGCCACATCTTGCATGCTAATCTATTTAGACACAATATTCGTTGACAGAATGGAAGAAAAACAACAACACTTTAGAAAAAGAAAAAGAAATCAGTGGTCTTTTTATTGCATCCTTTGTTCTCGAGATACTTGAGTTATTAAAGGAAATATTCACTCGATACTTTTCGCGTGATCCCCAGAGATGTCTTTGTTTTTCTTAGTTTTGTCGCGACGCCGACCTCACGGGCTTGTTTCCTTTCAAAACAACCGTGATTCCTCGACATTGGGTGTAAGCGATATGAAACTCAACTTTCCTTCCTTCAAGAATATTAATATCAACATATATTTTTTCAGGCCGCCGTAATCAAGCTTTGGAAATTCGAACTCGAAAAAAGAGAAAGTGAAACGTCAACAATGCAAGGGGAAATCTTCGCGAAAAAAACGCCTGAAAACTGAGATCTCTGTCTTCCTGTTTTAATTTGTTGTTCACTTGAGTTGTGTATTGAATAATGATTTACAATTTTCTTATCAATTTGAGAAGAAGCTGTTTCTCGAAAGCTACCTCTAGTCTGTTGTTTGAAGGTTCAAATCGGAGGTTTCGATTTGAACTTTTATATTTTTAACGGATAACGTTTCCCCTCATAATGAGTGCAAAGTCTCACTGTTATAACATGTCCAGATTGGTTCCTGTAATTTTATTGAATCAGTTCATTATATGTGCTTGTTTACTATTCTATTGTTATCGCAAGACAAATGTTATTGCATTGCCGGAAATCATAAAAACTTGAAAATTCCAAACAACTTCCTCAGATTGTGCGAACCGATTTCATAACATGGCGAAACTACAAAAAGTACAACTACTAAGTTTCTCTTTTTCAAGACTTCAGTTGACAAGATCGCTTCAGTAAGATTTAACTGAAATCGTTGCCGAACGTTCGTTCATGACAGTGCTGTCACTTTGTGTTGCGATTTATAGTGGAAAAATGTGATTATTTATTAGCTTGTTTAGGATTTCAAAACAGTGTCGAAACAGCCTTGATCCCTTTTCGTGCGGTTTCTGTTTCGCCGGCGTCATATTTCGGATCATCATTACAACGATACAGATGAAAGGTTATCGGTGATGCCTTGGATAATGAAGCAAAAAATGCCAGTTTTATCTTAAGTTGCCCCTTCATCGCGCTCTCTCTCCACTGAATTTGTAGCGTGGTTATCACCAGTGGCTTGATTTGGGACAGTTGATTTTGTGTGATATTTCGTCGAGTACAACAGGCAACTGTATGGAATGTTTATGAAGCTGTTGAACCCGGTGTTGGGCTCATCAAGAGACAACCCTTCCGGCTTTCGTTCGTGCGTTTTACAAAGAGATAAACAAAAACGAATTATGCGAAGAAATTAGGCACTGTTATCATAATCAAATATAGAGTGATAACAGTGCAATTATTAAGACGAAACCTCAGTAAACGAATTAAGCATTTTTGGGGGATAATTACATCTTTTATAACTGGCTTGAGTGGATTGCTTTTTGGCACAAGCATCGAAAGACAAATCAAGTCAAAATTTTCGTTGCATGTATCTGCCGTCACCGAGTATCATTTTGAAAGTGAATAGCGCCGCTTTTATAACTCGGCACTGTCAAATGAACAGGAACTTTAAAAGACAGCAGAAGGACTAACCGTTTTGTTTTCAATCTTTTTCACCGTTTTCATACATATTCACCGCAGTGACTTTGATCTATTTTCTACGTAGCGGATTTACTCAGTACAATTTAATCCTTTCACCTTGGAGTTCGACTACGAATTAAGCACTACTGCCGTTCACTTCTCTCATGCGTTCTGCTAAGAATTAATTTTACAGCACTTGGATCACTCTCAGTGAAGTAAGTAATATATCAAACACGAGAGACAGTGTTTCATCGGGATATCCGAACACCGAGATGAAAGTTGAAAATACGACGCGCAGCGGAGTATTTTTGATGAAATTCGAGGTGTTTGGATAGCCGATGACACACTGTCTCGAGTGTTTGATATATCTTCCCAATCGAAACAAAAACTAACGAGTAAACGGAGAGGTAAAATCGTTTAAATTTATGCTAATTAAGACCAGCTATCCAGGCTCATTCACGGTTGTGATTTTCTTTGTTTGCACTTGATGAATTACTAATGAGTTTGAGAAGCTTGTCCCAAAACGTTTTTCCGACTGGAGTGCGGTCGTTTTAGCGTGCGAATTCGGCCTCCGCCATATCTCTTTCCGCTTTCTTTAACTTTCGTCCTCTCAAGATTTTGAACCTCCAGAGCGGCCGAGAGCGAAAGAGACGGCCATATCGACGGGCTAGCTCTCGCTGGATAGAGGTGATTAATAATGTTGTACTTTTTTGCAGAATCCACCGTGTCCATCTGGTTTGTTCCTTGTGCTGTCAGGAGATGAGGCGGGTGCTTAATCATGGCAGAAAGTTGCGAGTATTGTTACTTCTCATAGCATTATGTTCTGTGTTCCTAATAACGTACCAAGGAGACGTTGTATGGTTTTCCGATCGTGGTGAGTATATACCGGTATACTGCGCGTGCGCAACTGCAAATCTCAAGTAACAATTAAATCTGCTCTATTTTGCTGAAGTATGAAGTGTAATACTAAGTTGAAAAATGATTGGAAATCATTATTTGAACAAAATTTAGTTAGAATTCAACTAAAACAATTAGATTATTCGCGCTCTCTGATACCTGACTTGGCAGTCACGCAATTTTATCATTAGGAAACAGCGAAGAAGGAAAAATTGCGTGACGGGCAGCATCCGTAACATTTTGCGAGGCTGAGCAAGGTATAAATTTTCCTAAGTAGTTCCAGTGAATTTGTTATAATATTGGTTAGGGGAATTTCTTTATATCAGGTTGAGAGAGGGGATTTCCCCTTGTCGTTCAATTTATGGCATTCTCGTAGCTTATACGGCGTCTCCAGGAACTGTGCCAAATCAGGTTAACTTGTATCTTAGTAGGTTTATTTCGATTGTCTTATTTCAGGAACACGTTTCCCAAACTACATGCCGGCGCACATCGAAGTCGGCAACAGTGACTTGAACCTTGGTGAACTTTTTGATCCTCAAAGCAAAAAGTCTAAGCTTGGTCGTGTCTTGAGCTCATTTGGAAACGACAAGGAATCTTCTCAGTTGCAAAAAAAGCAGAGAATGCTTTTGTGCGGTTCAGAATGGCAAGAGGAATACGTGAAACTTCACGACGACATCCTAAACAATCGAAAACCACCCAAATATCTTGTTTATTTTTGTGGAGGTAAAAAGTACGGCTGCGGTGGATACGGTAATCGATTGGGAGCTGTCACATCGCTCTTTTACTTAGCAGTTATAACGGGTCGCGCGTTTCTTATAGATTGGAAAAGTACAGTTCCCATTGCAGAGTATCTGCAACCCAAGAACATCAAATGGAATTTTCCGATTTCCAAACTGCGCCATCTTAAGACGAACTATCACTACTGGGGCAAGGGTGATCACCAATTGGTCTACAGAGATTCTCAAAGATCTTCGGATAAATTTTCCCTGTTCCGTGACTGGCTCGAGGGAACTGACCTCGAAAAGTATTTAGACTCGCCCGTGGAGGTAGTCACAAGTTTATGGTATTTTGCGCCGAGTTTTCGACAGCATAAGTTTGCCGAACGCTTGGCAAACATGTTAGGTGTGAAAGCGAAAGGCCATCGCTATTCTCTAGTGGGTTGCGCGTTCGACTTCTTGTTCCAAAGAACAGCCGAGTTCGACAAAACTTTGTCGGCGGCTCGTGAATCTCTCCATCTCAATGCGAATGTTCCTAGAATTGGTATTCACATTCGAATGGGGGATGCGTCGTCGTTTAGCCATGGATCTTTGGATCAAAGGACGTCGGATTTCAAAAACTTTTTCATGTGCGCCAAAAAGCTAGAAAGCGCAATCATTCAATCGAATAACAACGCCAGTCGCGCGGATATTAAGTGGTTCTTGGCCACAGACAACACCGAGGTGAAACAGTACGCCTTAAGAACGTACCCGAATAAAGTGGTGTCTCTTGCAGTGAAAGTTGAGCACATTAATTTTCGCGAGCCCTCCATGGAGGGCATGACAGGGGTGCTTCTCGACCACACCCTTTTGTCGGAGTGCGACTTCCTTGTATTGTCCGACAGCAGTTTTAGCAAGACAGCGCTGGGAATGAATTTCCATTCGTTAGAACACAGTACATTCGGTGATAAGTGCAGATACGTGACATGATAGTTCCTTGCCTCCGCACACTGTCTTGTTCAGTAATGTGACAGCTCGGCGCGTATGCAAACAGCCCGGAAGTGGTAGGGCCGAAGATAGGAGAAACTGGCTGGCTCTTACAGTGACACCAAAAGCCTTTGCCGACAGTTAACTGCAACGCGCCAAAACAGCATCGTAATAGAGTTAGTCCATGCTGCCACTGGGCTAAAAAATGGTAGCTGCAAGATCATTACATTTCTGGGACGCGTGTTTTGTTTGATTTTTATTTACAGACGTAATGGACCAGATGGAAAAAAAGTCTGATATGGAGGTTGGAAAATCACGTGGTCTCGTCTGATTTTGCGAGTAAGACAAGAAGAACTTTTTATCATTTGTTTCTTTCAGCAAATAGTGTTTTAGGATAAGGGATTCTTGTTGATATTACAGGACGGAACAGCAAAACACCAGTGAGTGTCCTACTGATTAGAGCTCAGCAAGTGAAATACTTGCCTGATATGTCAGTCATCTATCGCCCTGAGCCTAATCCCTTGACTAATCTACCGCCTAATCTCTCGCCCGGGATCAGGCTAAGGGCGGGAGATGCCTGACGCTTCAGGCCAGCGAAATACTCAAACAGACGGCGTGACTATTTATTGCAATGGGTTTCGTTTTCTAGGAGATCGGTATTTTTTACTCTTAGAAAGGAGAGAGGTCGTCTTCGTTGTTTGTTCAGTTGTCAGCATTTACCAAGTAGACCGCCACTGGTGTTTCGAGACAAAAGGAAAAGCGAGTGCAATTAACCGGGTAGTCTTGCTAACATCCGGTTAAATTTCTCAAAAATCGATATTTTAGTATTCGTACGTAGTGTAGAGTTTCCAACACAAAGACGGAAAAGTTACTTGCTGTGGCCAAATAAGTTATGTTGACACCAATTCTCTAAAGTTTTCTTCATTATACATTTCTTTATAGAAGCAAAAGGAGCTCTGATATATTTGTTAAGAGGGAAATTAAGCTTACTACTATATTAGTTAATTTGTTGGATTTGAAAGTCTTAGTTTTGAAAGTTATTTGTACAGTTGATAACTCCATTACGGCACCCAAATTCGCAGCTAGTCAATCAGAAGTTATGTCTACAGTCTTGATATCCACCGATATCACATCACCGACCTAATATGGCTGTCGTATACCCCAGTTGCGGTCGGATTTGTTTTGGTGACGTCACTGTGAAGGATCTTCTCTCTTCCAGATCACGTGACCCTAACAAACTGGGCGCGTAGCCGAAACAACACGATGATTGAGAACAAAGAGCTTTTACAGTAACGATTATCGGTGCAGTCGCTACAGAACTCGCGCTGTTAATCTTTTGCTTCTAGTCGTTCAGAATAAAATTTGATACACAGTAATATATCAGGAACAACAGAGATACGAGTCACACTGAAATGGTTACTTGAATATGAGAGTATGATTCAGCGCCATCTTGAATTATTTATTTTGTAAAAAAAAAAATGGAAATGTGATATACATTATTTGATAAATGGAATAAAAATATGGACAAATTTAGATTAGATGAACAGATTATTAAATTTTTACCTTGGGAATTTTATTACGCTTCATTCGTCGTGTCTTTCAGGTCTGGGGCCGGCGTTTCTCGAAGTTCCCGAAAAGTTTTCGCTCCCGGAAAACCGCGGCGAAATCTCAAGCGTTATGATTACAGAGCTGTTTTGTTCAATAGAGGTTCCCTTTATACAAGAA